CTTGTTTCCCAAGTAACTAATAGAATGATCTTTGGTTCGCCTGATGACGACCCACTCTATCTATGTTCAAAACAACAGAACATAGAACTTGTTTAATTTACATGATTCTCATTCATAAAGGGTAAACGTGTAATATCATCCAAAGTCAAGCTTTAAGTATATAACACTAACAATCATTACTAGATTACCAAGTGCTATTCTCATAAATCCATCAATGAGGGAAGCTACAACACTTAAGCAATGGTACGAATAATATGCTACTTTTTTTTGTTAATTTGTCAAATGCTGAATATTAACATAAACGTAACATACATGTATGTTGACCAAAAAATGTCCTTAACTCATTTGTGACAAAAGAGGCATTTAAAGATCCTTTGTTGTCCTGTCACCCCCAAATGAAAAAGATATTATCTCAATCCAAGTGGCACTGGCCACTTTAAAAGTGGTGAGTATTTATTCTACTGCATACTTCGACTTAAATTAAAAAACTGTAGGTTAGCTGAAGACGTCCTTTTGCCTTTGTCTATTACATTTCAGAACAAATCTGCATGGGGGGTGTTGCATCTCTCGCCATGAATCAAAAATCACTTTGGTTCACTGCATGTAACAATTGCCAGAAAGAGATAGGTGCACCAATAAACTGAGATATAAATTGTACATTGTGCGAAGAGAATAGAAATGTTGTTGCCAGGTTAGATGAGGACATCGTTTGTTCTGTTCCGCTTGAACCCTTCATTTTTGTTGGGTTGTAAATAATCTACAATGTAGCTCGCGGATTCTTAAACCCTTTCACGCTCATGTCACGCCGAGGTACTGCAGAAAAAAAAAATCATTTACAAACACTCTCCAGTTTTATTTATTTATTTATTTATTTTTTCTTTATCATTATAACAAATCAAAAAATTCTCAACTATCCTGGTGTCGCTTTGATATCACTATAAAAGATGAAACAAGAGTAGTTGAAGCTATGATTACAGGTATAGAAGCAGAGCAGTTATTGCCATTTACAGGGGAAGAAATGAGCATAGCAGAGGCTGAGGTACTCTCCCCCATTCCACTTATAAAACACTCTATGCCCATATTTTCATACCTTTTGTCGACGTTTTTAACACAACACATTACATATTAAACAGAACATAAAATTATTACCTGAGATTGTTGTCGGTTTTTACAGGAACCCAATTACTTGTTTCGTCCGACATTATGACGCAACCTATTCCAACATCATTGCTGACAAGTATAGTGTTATTAAAGTATACACGAAAAAGGAAATTGGGAAGATAACTGTATCTCGCACACCAGTCAAAGGAAAAGTAATTATATTATCCCCCATTTATACATTTATACATATTTACCTCTATTCTTTTTGTCATACAATTTAACATGCATCAACATTTTACCATATCATGCATGATAAAATAACTTCCATGGATGAGCACTTATTTACACCAACTGCAAAGCTTATGCTTGAATCAATTAACTTGTCAACTCCTAAACCAACAATAAAAACAACCACCAAAGTTGTATCAACTTCAGCCAAACGCCCATTAATTTTCACAGCACAGGAGGAAGAACAAGCCAGTCTTTCCCAAACCATGCAATCAGACATGTCAAGTGTTTCAAATGAAGAAAGTACTAGGGCAAAGATTGTAGATAAAAATGCAACAAACACAACTAAACAACACCACTCCTGTCCAGCTAAGAAAATGAAAGACCAAGACTAATGGTTCATTTAGAAGGTGTTTGACTTTTGCTCTTTAAATACCAGATATTGTAGTTATTATGGATGCTGCCTTTTGAACTCACTAGATATTTGAACTCACTAGATGAATGATTGTTGCATTTTGGATAGTTGAATATAAAATGACTATTCAACATTATTACCAATCAAACAAGGAATCCATTTCTTGTTTGTTGGGCAACAATATCTAGCTTTTGTATCATAAGCTTATGCTTTTATTTTGTAAGTTGTACTTGGGTAAATTGAAGAAGATAATGCTATCTTATTATCATACTGGGATCTGACACTCGGGTATTTATTTCGTTGAGATCTTTTTAGTTGTCTTAGTTGTTATTTGTGTTGTGTAGTTGCGGTTTTTGGTCATTCTAGCGGTGCTAGCCGGTTCTAAGTGATCTTCGGATCTGCCTCCCAGTTTTATAGCCTCTGGTTGTACTATTCAGCTTTTGGCTGCTTTCTTTTCGCACTTTGTGCGCTTTCATTAATGTAAATCCTCTATCATTTTGGGAAAAAAATGTTATGCATAAATATACATCATTTATGCTTAATTATGTATGAACTCTATTTCTTTACTTTATGTATTTTTTGTTGATAATGTACTGGGTTAATATATGATGGATCTTCACAGTTATCATTACAAAAATCTTCATAATGCAAAAGGCAAAGTTTTACCCAACTATATCGAAACAACTTACAAAATTGATCTATTATTCAATTAATAATATTTGTGTGGGCCAACTGTCGCACAACTAAGTATTCCTAGTATTTAATATTATGACAAAATCCTAAATGAAAATTCCTCAATCGCTAGTGAGGTATGGCTATTACTTAACTTGTCTTAGTATTTGTAATAATTTTGAAACTTTAATAAATAATTGCTATTAGCATATATTTTAAGTGTTTATTTAAAAATAACATATAAAATATAGGTTTTTTTTTCCTTGAACAGTAGAGACAATTTGAAGTGTTTCTTACATGTTTTTTAGAAATAACTTTTTCTTTAATCCATGTTAATAAGCTTGAGAAACTTACATGCAACTCAAACACTTCATCCCAATTTTATTGAAGATAATCTTAATTTTAATTAATGTATTGTTCTCGATTTCATGAAAATGGATAACTTTTTTTTTAAAAAAAGGCTTAATTGCACCTAAAATCCTCACTTTTTGTGTAATGACAAATAAAATTCAACATTTTTATCTTGGCAAATATGTACCGAACTTTTATTATGTGTTGAAATTTGTCTCAAAAAACCATTTTTCAGCCAATCCTTGTTGACGTGTCCGATCAGAAATGTTATGTAGCACTTATGAGGCTTGTGTGACATCAATTTTGAAACTCCTCACCATGTTTTTGCCACATCACATGCCAACAAATTAACCAAAACTAGAGTTTAGTACCCATTGAAAAAATAGAATTTTATTATTATTTTTTTGCTCCATAATCTTCATGAAAATCGAGTTCTTCTCCCCTAATTGAAAAAAAAAAATAATAGCAGCGATTCTTCTCTTCTCCATGGCGATTCTTCACCCCAACATTCCGAATACATTTACGAGCTCACCCCTAAATTCTAAAAAATTGGACAAAGAGAGCCATTCTCGAGTGATTTTTAGGCGATTTTAATGTTTTGATCGGACACGTCAGCAAAATTGCCCGGAAAATTGTTTTGAGACAAATTTGCAACATATAATAATTTTTTGTTATTTATTTGCAAAGATAAAAAAAAAAATGAATTTTATTGCAATTACACAAAAGGTGAGAATTTTGTGTGCAATTAAGCTTTTTTTTAAATCAATGTACTGTAAATATGTAACCCAAATATTTATTTCATAATAACAATTTTACTCTTATTTCATAATAATCTATTTTATTCTTATTTCATAATACCATTCTTTCACTCTTTGAGTTAAACGGTTAGAACTTCAAATAAGAAATCCGAACTTTAGGGTATGTTTGGTTCAAAGGAGGGAAGGGAAGGGAATTTAATAAAAGGAGGGAAAATAATTTATCTTGTTTGGATGGATTTTGTAGGAGAAGGGGTGAAGGAAAATGATTAACTTTGTTTGGTTAGAAGATGGAAGGGGAGGGAAAATAATGTTAGAATAACAAATATATCTTTAATGATGTAAGGAACAAAAAAAA